ATATGTATATGAAAATTATATGTCATGCAATGTTAAATATAAATACTAGATTGTTCACAAGGACTTGAATGCGTCGAAAACGCGTGCAAAACTAAATATTCAACCAAAAACCTTCTTCAAAATGGGTATACAGAAACTTCCAGAAAAATGTCTTGAATTCCACGGAGAATATGTAAAATAGTAGGTATAATATTTCTAAATAAATATTTTTATACTACTTTTAAAAAATCAGTTTTATAAATATTTGAACAACCTAGTATTAAATATACATATTAACGTATTTTTACCTTTTTACTATTTTCATCAAGAACAATTACGTTTTGGCATTCAGTCGATAAATTAGTATTTTCTTCTTTACTTTGTACATTCACATTGTTCTTCGTTCTGTATTAATACAACTTCCTGAAATAAAACCTGTGTTTTATATAAGCTTTCATTCATCTTTATCATTAACAAGTTATACTAAATACAAAAATCATCTTTGCGCTTATTACTTTATTGTGATTATTAATTAAACTTAATATTCTTTTTCTTGGGCCAATTTTTATATTCATTTCTTTTAAATCAGTTTCTGTTAACGCCATGAAAGCATAACCATCGACTCCTTCGTCTAAAACATTGAGTTGACAAATATAATTTTTGGAGAAATTTATTTGAAAAAAATTAAAAGCAATTTAATAAAAGATACAGTGTGGACATGTACTGACAATGCTCTGATGCTATATATCTTCAAATCTCCATATCATCCAAAATATGATTTTGAAAATTTACAGCGATATTTAAAGCAATATATACATAGATATTTATTTAAAAACGTTCTCCGGTCCTTATACTAGAGAAAATCGATTTTCTTAGGATTTTCTTGAAACTGTGAATATACGTTAATTTAGGTGTGCTTTATGCGTGTACTCAGCGTGATATAAATTTCAGTACCTCTTCCGGGATAAAAAATAAAGATACTGAGCCTCAAAGTTTCAACTTTTACTAATGAAAAGGTTTTCCAGGCCAAACGGTAAGAGATACGAGCGGTTAGCCAAGAGGACCAAAGTTTGCTCCTCTCGTTGAGTTCTATAAGGAAAAAATGCCAAAACTAAAAAAAATTAAATTTTAAATTTTTTTTTGAAATTTTGAGGCTCAGTATCTTTATTTTTTATCCCGGAAGAGGTACTGAAATTTAAACCACGCATAAAGCACACCTAAATTAAAGTATATTTACAGTTTCAAGAAAATCCTAAGAAAATTGATTTTTTCTAATATAAGGACCGGAGAACGTCCTTAAATGGAAAATTTTGGCGTATAATGTATATAGGAAAATATATTGATGAACGATAGAAAAGTAAATTGATTTTATGTACAAGATATAATTGTGAGGTGCTTTTATAATAACATATGATGAAGGACTATATAAGAAAAATTAGTCGTAAAATCAGACCATAATTAAATAGTTTCAGATCGCTTAACTCATCAGTATTTACAAATGTATATGAATCTGTATTTTGAGCTACACGGTAAGCATTTAATGATTTGTTATAACCAAGACATTGTCATTCTTCACACCATAACCAAAGCTGATCATCCTTTAATATTATTAATTCTTGAATACAACTAAAAGTAATTTCACTATTTTCTTGTACTCCACTGTTAATAGCAACAAACAAACCTTTTTGATACTTTGTACTGTAAACCTCCGCCTTATTAACTTCAATAATTGTGTCTTTATCCTGATATTTCATTTGATGTAACTGCTGTCTACAATATGTATTTTCAACATAAGTTTTTCGTCCGTTAATGTACTTTAATTTGATTCGTGGTTCTTTATTAGTACCCCAAACTGCGCATTGATCTAATTGACAATAGTTTGTTAACGTTTTCGTAATATATTTAAAATTACGTACAGATTCATACTTTTTTAAAAAATTATGTTCCGCTTCAAATCTTAAACAATTTAACCAACGTAAAGGACCAGAAAAAGATATACACTGAGGGTAATGAGTTAAATAATGATGCTTATTAATTGGAGCTATAGCTGGAAATAATTCTTAGAATAAACAATTGTGTTCTTCGATTAATTCTGCTAAAATATGGTAAAATAGAGCGTCTCAATTTTGGAGCAAATACTATTTCGTTTATTCTGTTTAATAGTAAAATTAACGATAAATGCTTCATTTTCAGGTACTAAATCTGAAACTAAGAAAGGAAAAACTCTTAATAAACACCATGTTTGTACAACAGTTTGTGAAAGCTTGTAATCCTTTTGATATTTAATAGAAGTTGAAGAAAAATTTGCAGAAGGTTTATTTTTATACTGTAACTTCTTTAATTCTTTGTAATTAAAATAATTTTTTGTAATATTAAAAATTTGTTAAAGAGTATTAAGAAGCTATTACCACTTGAGTTAAAATAGGAAGACCCTTGAATAGGAATACGAAGATACTACTTGAGTTTTATTTCTTTAAAGTAGTTGCATAACAATTATCTTTCAAAGCAATATACGTATTCTCTTTACAATTGGCGCAATTTAATTTAAAGATTTTTACATTTTTTTTTGAAATACATGTCACTTGAGTTAAGTTAGGTAATATAATTTTGTGAAGAAGAAAATAAAGATTTCACATTTTTTTTTTAAATACATGTCACTTGAGTTAAGTTAGGTAATGTAATTTTGTGAAAAATATATATATAAAGCTACCACAGGTTAGATACATATGATTTGAGTTAAGTTAAGTATTGTGAAGAAAAAATTAAAGATTTTAGATCTTAAAAAGAAATTAAGATCTTTTTTTTTTTAAATACATGTCACTTGACTTAAGTTAGATAATATAATTTTGTGAAAAAGATATAAAGGTTAACCAATAATGGGACTTCCGGTTCCGGAACATAGAAGGTGACAGGTGTGAACAGAGCGGAGATAAAGTGATAGAAAAGTGCGATACAGAAAGGGTGGGAGAGAGTGAGAGTAGCGGGACGGCAAGGGATGGAGGTGTAAGACGGCGGAGGAGAAAGAGTTAAGCGGGGACGAGATCGGTTAAAAGGTGAAAAGTGAAGAAAGTGGCTGGAACGAAGTGACAGTTGAGGCATAGACGGTAAGTAACATAGAGAGGCGACAGAACGTAGGAAAGAGGCGCGAAAGCGGGCATAGACTAGCTCAGTCATAGAAGGGATGAAGCTCGGATATAGAAGGAATAGTAGGACGTGCACGCAGCCATAGGATACAAAAAAGAAAGAGGGATAGGCAAATCAAGAACAGCGGATGGATAAAGAGAAGGAAATAGAATCAGAAAGTGCACAACAGGGAGATAAAGGAAAGAAGGGGGAAGGCGAAGGCGAGAAGAAAGCGAGAGGCAGACCAACGAAGGCGGAGGAGTTAGCCAAATTAAGAAGAACGGACAGTACAGGATCGGTCAAGGAATTCTTTCAGAAGAGTGAGAAAAGGAAGAGGGAAGAAGAGGTGGAGGAAGCAGCGAATGCGGAGGAAGAAATTCTAAAAGAATTTAACGCACAAAGAAGGGTCAACAGATCACCGCCGCCCAAAATCAAAAAAGAAAAGCAGGGAAAAGAAAATATGGCGACGGAAGAATTACTGGAGAAGGTTAAAGAAATTTTGAAGAAAATGGAGGAACAAGAGGGAGAAAGAAAGAAAGATAAGGAGGAACAAGAGAAAGAAAGGAAAAGAGATAAAAAGGAAATAAAAAACAAAATTAAGGGACTGAGGGAGGAATTGAGGAGAAGCGAGGAGATATGGGAAAATCAAAGAAAGACCCTGGAAGGAAGAATTAAGAATTTAGAGGAGAAGGCGGAGAAGATAGAAGTAAACATGTCAATGAGTGAGGGAGGGGAGATAATAAGGAAAATGAAAGAGATAGAAAGAAATATGGAGATGGCAGAAAGAAGAAGGAGGAGAGTAAACATAATTGTAAGAGAAAAGAAAACAGGAAATAAAAAGGAAAGAAAAGAAAAAACCGAGAAGTTGATAGAAGAAATAAATAGATCGAAAATGGCCGTCGAGGAAGTACAAGAAATTGGACATGGAGAATTTAAGATGAAAGTATTGAGATGTAGAAATTGGGATAACAAACGAGAGATAATGATGAGAAAGAAAGAGCTAGGAAAGAAGTATGGCTGTTTTCTGAATGACGACCTTACTAAAGAAGAAAAGCAGATACAGAAAGAGTTAAGAAAGATAGCAAGGAAAAAAAGGGAGGCAGGAAAATGGGTAACGGTCGGTTACCAAAAAATATGGGAGGATAATAAGGAATGGAGATGGAACGAAAACAAAGAAGCGCTAGAAGAAAGGGATCACTTTCGCAGATAAGAAAGAAAAGAAGAAGGATAAAGAAGGGTTAAGCATGATGAACGAGAGAAGGAGGGAAGAGATACAAGAAAGAAGACAGGAAAGGTCCAAGGAGATAGAAGAAAGGCGGAACACACCAGAAGAAACCAGAAAGGACGAAGAAAGTATAAAGGAGGTAGATGAGGAAAATATTAGAGGAAACGGAATAAGGGAAGTCGAGGGACAAGAGAAAAGATATATAGGAGAAGAGGAAAGAAACGACGGGGAGAGTGAAGAGACGTGGAAAGTGGCCTTTTGGAACGTAGCTGGTTTATCAAACAAGGATAAGGACTTCTGGGAAGGGATAAAAGAATGGGATGTGATTGTGATGATGGAGACTTGGACTGATGAGAAAGGATGGGAGAAGGTGAAGGAGAAGCTACCGAGAGAATATAGATGGAGAGTACAGATAGCAGCCAGGAGGAACAAGAAAGGCAGAGCGTGCGGAGGCATGTTGCTAGGAATAAGGAAAAGCATAGAAGAGATAAAGGAAAGAAGGGAGACGGAGGAAGAAGGAAAAATCGAAGGTAAGATAAGAATAGGAGAGGAAGTATGGAGAATAATAGGAATCTATGTAAACAACAATATAGACGAGAAACTAGGTCTGAAGGAAAGGACGGAGGAGGGGGAAAAAGGAGTAAGGACCATAAAGCTGGTCACACACACTTTCCGTAGAACGTAACAGTAGGAACACGTACGACTCTGCAAGACACACAACGTTCGTAACGCAGCGTCGCTACGATAACCGTGACTGACCGTGGCAGACTTGACTTTATTTGCTGCGGACGCTGCAGTATAGGTTATAGAAGTGAATTGTCAGCGAAATATTTGAGAAATGAGAGTAAATTTATCAATTGTCGTAGAATAAATTTTTCATTACATCATTGGGTGAGTACAAATTTATGCATTAAATATAATATTCTATTATAAATTGATATAATAGGAATAATAAAGAAACAAACTGAATAACTGAAATATTTCATCTTTAAGCAAAGGAAAGGTTAAATAGAATTTGTTATTTTCTTTCAGAATATGGACGACATAGAACTGTTTTATATTTATCATTGGATGGCTGCATACATTTTGTCACGCAGAAGAAGAAATTATTCTAAGCGTTGGGTTAATCGGAGATGGTGGGTTAGGAATATTAATAAGAACCGTAATCAGCAAGGAGATTTTAATGCTCTATTTCAAGAACTAAAAGATGACACGGAAATGTTTTTTCGATATACTAGAATGAGCGTTAACGTCTTTTATTTATTGTTGGAATTGGTTGAACCATTTTTAAGGAAAAATAATTGGAGAGCTTTGTGCCCAGAACAACGACTGTCTTTGACTTTGAGGTTAGTCATATGTATTCAATCACTTACGTATTTTAAAATTGCATAGACAATAGGTTTGTTTATGCTATTTGCACAGAGTACTAGAATAAGTATATACTGTGCACTATTCTGTAGGGTAGGTTCAATATACAAAAGAACTGAAACTAAAGGTGTAGAGTGTTAGCTCCAATGCTTTAGTTTGCTTAGTTTGTATGTACAAGTACTACAAACAAACTAAATATGGAGTATGTGTATTATTTCTTTTTAGTTGATCAAAATACTTACACGATGTCAGGCTAAACTGAATGTTTGTCATAATTACAGATATCTGCCCAGCAAACGAAAAAAGATTGAAAAGAATTAAAACGGGATTGCCAGGAATTCAATTAAGGACTTTCCGAATTCCATTCTGTCCAAAAAAGGGATTGAAATAGTTTCAATATCATGGAATTCCTTATTTTGAAAAGAATTTGTTTTTTTTGAATCCCATTCAATTCCGACACAAAAATATTATACCACTGAATGCCAGGTTAAGGATTAAAAAGTTTCGTGATGAATTCCATTGAATACCATTGATTCCGTTAACGAAATGAATACCACTGAATGCCAGGTTAGGGATTGGAAAGTTTCGTGATGAATTCCATTGAATATCATTGATTCCGTTAACGAAATGAATACCATTGAATGCCAAACTAGGAATTAAAAATTTCCGTATTGAATTCCATTGAATTCCGTCTATTCTGACAATAAAATGAATACCATTAAATGCCAGGATAGAGATTGAAAAGTGTCCGTGTTGAACTCTGTGGCGGTACGCGCCACCAATAGTACACGCCCGCGCGGTATCTGCATTACCGGCAGTTCGCGTCGACGCCGCTAGGCGTCGCATCGCCGGGGCATCTTCTCGAGTTCAAAGTTTCGTCTCGACCGCTATGTAAAGGGACCCCCTACGGGACCTGACAGATCTTACAAATCTCATTTTCGGGCTAATTGCCAGTCGGCAGTAGTGCGTGTAATGCCCTTAGGCATACACAAAAGCTCACCGGCGCTTGGTCGCCCAACGGAGGCGCGAGACGTTTCCTAAACCATCTAATGCCATGCAATTCCATAACCTTTACGGATTCTATAGGATTGGATGGAAATGAAAATTTCTTTTTTGGATTCCATGGGATTGGACCATCTCATTTCGAATCCCATCTAATTTCATCTAATTCCGCCAAAAAAGGGATTCAAAGGTATTAAAAAATTTTAATATCTTTTAATCCTTTTGCGTTTGCTGGGTGGCTACTGGTGATCAACTGCTTTCGATCGCTTTTGCATATAGAATCGGAGAGTCAACAGTATCTTCGGTCATTAAGCACACTTGTACCGTATTAAGCAAAGTATTGGCCCCACTATATGTAGTCCCTCCAACGTCAGAAAAATGGGAACAAATTGCTGCAGATTTTCTTAAAGATTGGAATATTCCGAATTGCGTTGGATCGTTCGATGGAAAACACGTACACATTCAAGCTCCGCCAAATTCTGGAAGCGTCTACTTTAACTATAAAAAAAGTTTCAGCATTGTCCTAATGGCTGCTTGCGATTCTAATTATAAATTTACTCTTATTGACGTTGGTACTAATGGCAGTATTAGCGACGGGAGCATATTTGCTTCATCTGAAATAGGCCAAGCAGTTAAATATGAAACATTGAACGTGCCACAAGGGCAGATACAACTTCCTGGCAGTAATCAATCAACGCCATATTTTTTCATCGGTGATCAAGCTTTTCCACTGATGAAAAATTTTATGAGGCCCTACGCTGGACGAAGATTGGAAGAAAAAAAGCAAATATTTAATTATAGATTATCTCGTGCTAGAAGAACGATAGAGAACGCATTCGGAATACTTTCTGCACGTTGGAGAGTTTATCGTCGACCAATTTGTTTGGATTTAAACGCCGTTGATAAGATAGTAATAAGTACTGTATGTCTCCATAATTTTTTAAAGACACAGGATGAAAAGCATACGCCGGAAAAACGATTATACTGTCCACCACTCTTTGTTGATTCAGAATTAGAAAACGGTCAAGTAATTGAAGGAACTTGGAGGAATGAACAGATGCAATCACAACGTTTACAACCTACTGGTGCACATCGAGCGAGCAGAAACGCAATGGAGCAACGTGACATTTTAGCAGATTACTTTGTAACCCAAGCAGGAAAGATTCCATGGCAGTATGACTATATTAGAAGAGGGACAAACAGAGACTAAACAGATAATACAAATGTTCATATAAAGTATTTAATAATCATATATATTTTATATATAAACGTATACATTTTTATAATCATATGTTATCATATATTATATATTTTATATAATATTAAATGTTTGCTGGTTGCTAACCAAATCTTAATCAACGTACATAAAAACTTATTAATAACTAAATATAATTTGTTTTATTAACTCATAAATCTCATAATACGTACATAAACTTATTAACTGAATATAATATGTGTAATTTTTTCCATTTTTTGTTTTTTATCCATTTCAGGCAATTTTCCCAATTCACAAGAAATCCATTTTCCAAATGATTCCACATCGCTTGCATTTGATGTTGTATTATATTGTTGCATGTTTTTTGTTTTGAGATATGAACTTAATTCCGACGATACTTTCAAAAAATTTGTTTCAATATTGTCAGTGCGTTTTTTCTTGTTAATCCATCCGTCAAAAGAATCATTCTGTTGTTGTATATTCTCTGCTATAATATACAAAATCGAAAATTGTTAAACTATGAAAAATATTAAATATATTAATCACAGCCAGAGTACTGTAACGATGCACCCCTATAAAGCATCGTTTTCCGGCCAACACTAGCCGGATGCCGCTCGGCCGAACTTCCGATTCTATTCGACATCCGGCTTAGCGTCCACCGTGCTCGTCGTTGAACCACGTAAAGTAGATCCACGTTTGTACATACATGTAGTATTTCACGCTTTGTGCATACGGTTATTAATACGTTCTTGGAAATACGTTTATTAATTCACTATCATTGTAAATATATTAGTTTGTAATAAATTAAGATTAAACATTAATCTAAATTATCGTGTTATTGCCTCTGGCCCTACCTCTCGAACTCCGGAATCTGACGAGCTAGCCCGCGTTTGAGAAAACGCCAGGTCGTTATAGGGAGCTTTTCAGCAAACAACACAAGTATCTTTGTTTTATTCATTGCCAAAAAAGAAAGATAGAACGATATTTGTGTTAACTTATATCTCTTGCTGGAAAGCTCCCATAGTACATTAAAAATATGTTACTTACATCTTCTTTTAGGTGTCGAAATGTTTTCTTGTGAAGACGCCTCTGTATAATTTGTTGGCCCTTCAAAGTCAGATAAGAACTCAGGAAGCACAATAGATTGTGGAGATGTCGCGGGAATAGTGACATTGTGAGAACTAGGCTGTGTTGAGCTACTATGTGCTGGAAGCAATGCAGAATTTCTCGACGGAATACATGTTTGAGGTGATGGGGTATTTCGGGAGCTTGTTGACACCGAAGAGAATGGCACGTTTTCAGGGCTTGATGGTGATAGTGAAGGTGATATTGAAGATCGAGGATTTTGGATTGTTCGAGCACTTGACGAAATGCAAGACAACGCTGCGTGTGCATTGATCGCCGGTTGTTGTTGATTAGCAGACTGCAAGTCAGAGTTTCTTAACAGTGAAATATTTTGAGGAATTGATGATTGTTGACGAGTACATGTTTGAGATGATGGGGTATTTCGGGAGCTTGCTAATGATACCGAAGAGAATGGCCTGCTTTCAGAGTTTGATGGTGACAGTGAAGACGATAATGATATTGAAGATCGAGGATTTTGAATTGTTCGAGCACTTGATGAATTGCAAGACAACGCTGCATGTGCATTGATCACCGGTTGTCGTTTATTAGCGGACTGCAAGTTTGTATAGGTTCTAAAACATTGAGGTTCAAAAACAGTATACTTTCAAGAATGCTTGTTATATTTTTTAGCTACATTACTTATTTTCTTGACTGAATATGTTCCGAAAGAAACATCATATTTTCATATAAAGGAAATCCTTTTCTTCCTGTAGTACTTCCACTACCGCTTCTTGTTTCTGCATCCCGTAACCTCCGCTCTTTTGAAAATCTATCCCTCAAGCGTATCCATCGTTTCTGACAATCTTCCACTGTAAATAATGTCATGTGTTTATTTCTGTAAATATATTTTAGTTGCAAATCTGTATAATTCCACATACCTGAACAATTCATAACAGATGCTATTTCCACCCATGACCGTTCACGTACATTTTTATCTTTAAAATCTTTTAAATTCTTTGCATAAATATGAGGATAACCTCTCACGACGTCGATAAAAGTAGCATCGGATTCAATATTCAATTCGGTCACAGGCACATCCATATCTTGTGAATACATATCTTGTGAATCTTCAAGGTCCGTATAATATGTTTTGTCGTACGAGTGATCCATTTCACGATTTTATTTTCACAAGATTCCAATCCGATATTTACCCAAATTTTTGTGGTTATGCAGCTTGTTTATGGATGATTCGTTTATCGCGCCAAACTACGATGTCAGACAACCTCGCAATCTGATTGGCCATCTATCAAACCGTAGCAGTAGAATTCCAACATGTTGAAATTTTCGACCACTGCTGCTACTGTTACTTCTACGATTGCAGACGGCCGAATCGAGCAACGCGATTGGTCGAAACCCTACTGTTACGTTCCACGGAAAGTGTGTGTGGCCAGCTGAATTTTCGATCACTACTGTTACTGTTACTTCTACGGTTACAGACGGCCGAATTGAGCAACGCGATTGGTCGAAACCCTACTGTTACGTTCTACGGAAAGTGTGTGTGACCAGCTTAATAGGAGGTGACTTTAACGCGAGAACGGGAGAGGAAGGAGGATGGGAAGAGGAAATCGAGCGAAGAGAGGAAAGAGGGAGGAAGTCTAAAGATAAGAAGATAAATAAAGAAGGCAGAAAGTTACTGGAGTTTATCGAGGAGAGAGGATGTATGATATTAAATGGAGGCACAAAGGGGGACGAGGAGGGAGAATATACATACACAGGGGGAAGAGGTGAGACAGTCATAGATTACATAATAGGGGACGAGGAGGTTAGAGAAAAGGTGGAAAGACTGGAAGTAGGAGAAAGGATAGATTCAGACCATCATCCATTAATACTATGGGTGAGGGGAAGCTCAAAGAGAAGGCAAAGGAGAAGAGAAACTGAAAAAATGAAAAGAAGGGAAGTATGGAATGAGGAAGGAAAGACGCAATTTAGGGAGAAGTTAGGCGCGATTGAAGGAAAAAGAGACCTGCAAGAGGAAATAGAGGAAAGAACAAGGAAGATAAGAAGGGTGATTGAGGAGAACGAGGACAAGAATGAAAGAATGACTATCAAGAACAAAAGAGAGTGGTGGGACGAGGAATGTACGGAGAGCAAGAGGGAAGTGAGGAAAGAACTAAGGAAATGGAGAAAAGGGAAAGGAGAGGCAGAAAGATACAGAGAAAGAAGGAAAGAATATAGGGAAATGTGTGATAGAAAAAAGAAGGAGGAGAAAGAAAGAATGATCAAAGAGATTGGAGAAGCGAAAACGGAGGGAAAGGTATGGGAGTTGATAGGCAGAGTAAGGAAGAGAAGAAGAAGGGTGAATGAAGAGATAAAACCGGAAGAGTGGAAGGAGTATTTCATGGATCTGATGGGTGGAGTGGAGAACAGAGTGGTAAAAGGAGAGGGAGACAGAAGCAGACAGGAGGAAGAAGAGATAGGATTAGAAGAGATAAGAAACGTAATAAAGAAACTAAAGACGGGAAAAGCAATAGGCAATGACGGGATACCTAACGAGGCATGGAAGTACGGAGGAGAAGAAATGGTGAAATGGATATGGGAGGTATGCAAACGTGTCTGGAGAGGTGAAGGCTGGCCGGAACAATGGAAGGAAGGGGAGATAATCCCATTAGTTAAAAAAGGAGAAGGGCGAGAGGTGAAGGACTATAGAGGAATAACCATAATGTCTTCGATGTACAAAATCTACACGGCGGTACTGGCGGAAAGAATAAGAGAAGAAGTAAAAACGAAGAAATTGATCCCCGATAATCAAACGGGATTCAGGAAAGGAATGGGAACGATGGATCAAATATTCGCTTTGAATTACCTGGTGAACAGACAAATAGGAAAAAAGAAAGGAAAGATGACAGTGTTTTTTGTGGATCTGAAGGCTGCCTTCGACTCAGTGGACAAAAAAGTATTAATAAAGGCAATGAGAGAAAGAGGAGTGAGACAAGGACTGATAGACAGAGTAGAGGAAGTATTGAGGGAAACAAAGAGCAGAGTAGGGAAAGGAGGAGAGAGTGATGGTCAATTTTGGACGGCGAAAGGCCTGAGACAGGGATGCCCACTAAGCCCAATATTATTCAACCTATTAATCGCAGATATAGAGGATCATATAAAAAAAGGCGGATGGGGAGGAGTGAAATTAAGAAGCGAGAAAATATACACGCTAATGTATGCAGATGATATTGCACTGCTGGCAGAGGAGGAGCAGGACATGAGATCGATGATAAGCAGGTTAGAAGGATATCTAGACAGAAAAGGGTTAACTCTGAGTATAGAGAAGTCAAAGGTAATGAGATTCAGAAAGGGAGGAGGAAGGAAGAAGAAGTACGACTGGAGGTGGAAGGGAAAAAAATTAGAAGAGGTTAAAGAATTCAAGTATTTAGGGTATACGATGAAGGAGAATGGAGGGCAGGAGGCGCATATCAGAGAGAGAAGAAGGAAGGCAGCAAGAGTAATGAGGGAAGTATGGGGGATAGGGAAGAGGATGTGGAAAAAGGACTGCAAAAGAAGGATCTGGCTATACGACACACTGATATGGACAGTGATGGGATACGGGGCAGAAGTATGGGGATGGAAGGAGAGGAGGGAGGTAGAAGGTATTCACGAGAGATATCTTAGATGGGTACTTGGAGTAAATTGGAGGACGCCGGGATATATGGTCAGAGACGAGCTAGAAAGAGAAAAGATGAGAAGTAGAGCAAGCAAGAGAACATGGAAATTTGAAAAAAAATTGGAAGAAGGTAGAGGAGGAGAGATAGCGAGAAAGTGTTTGGAAGAAATGAAAGAGAGATGGAAGAGAGGAAAGGTAATAGGGAGATGGGAGCAGGAGAGAAAAGATTACTTGGAAGGGATCGGAGTAGAAATGGAAGGAGGAGAGGAGTTGGAGGAGGAGGAATTGGAAAAGAAGGAGAGAGATAAGGAGAGACAAGAAAGGATGGAAAAGATCGTAGGATCGAAGTACAATAGATGGTATAAGAGCATAAGGAAGGACGGGATCCCGGACTATCTAATGAAGGGATGGGAGGAAGCAAGATGGAACAGGATTGCAAGATTCAGACTGGGTAACGAAGTGAGGGAAGGACTATACTGGGAAAATGAGGAGGACAAAAAATGCAGGATGTGTGGAAAAAAAGAGGAAACATGGGAACATGTATGGGAGGAATGTACGAGATGGGTGGAATGGGAAGGAGAGGGGTGGCAGGATGTGGCAGAGAGATTACTAGGAGAAAAGGGAGAGGAAGAAGAATGGATGAAAGCAATAGAGGAAAGGAGACGAGATGGAGGAGGGAGGATAATGAGAAAGGAAGAAGGACAAGCCAACAACTCAACGAAAGAGGATCAAGGAGGGCGAGACAACGAAAAGGATCGAAGAAGAATATGTTTATAATAAATTATATGTATTTTAATTGTATGTAAATTGTTGTAAACTGGATGTACAAGGTTGGGTACGTCCCTAAAAAACGCCCTTTTAGACCCCTTGGGGTAATAAAGTATCTTATCTATTCTATTCTAAAGGTTAACCAATAATGTAGAAACGCGGCTAAGTGAGAGCCGTTCGCCGTTCACGGTGCAAAGATTAATGACAATGGTATTTTTTTCCCTTTCTCATATATTTATTAAATATTGAACGTTTCGGTCCCGGATTGGACCATCTTCAGCATCTGAATACAATTATAAATTTTTTATAAAAAAAGACTTACGATCCTGTTACGAAATAACCTCTGTATCTTTTATGCGAAATAATTATTGTACCCTTTGTATTCAGATGCTGAAGATGGTCCAATCCGGGACCGAAACGTTCAATATTTAATAAATATATGAGAAAGGGAAAAAAATACCATTGTCATTAATCTTCGCACCGTGAACGGCGAACGCGGCTCTCACTTAGCCTGCACGTTTCTACATTATTGGATTTCCAAACAGAGCCTTTTTACTCTTCTATAAAGGTTAGATTACCTAGACACTTACCTAGACACTTAGGTTAGATTTTTGAATTTACAAAATACATTGCGTGTACTTGGCACTTTTTTTTACCTTTTTTGAAAAAGATAATTTTGTACTGATATTACCTATTTTGTAGTGTTAAGCAAGGATCTGCAAAACATTTTTATTTTTTATTTTTTAATTATTTACAAAATTAACAATAACAACAAATACATAAAAATTAATAATATTTAAGTAAAAGTAAATTATACATTTCTCACAAAAATTGAAGGAACACTAAATTTATCTTTAAAAATAGGCAAAATTCAAGCAGCTGTAACTCTGTTAAAAATAAATAAAATTTAAATTTCAAGCTTAAAACCTCTACTTTCGAAAGGTTACTATTATTTTTTAGTTTCTGTAAGTTTGGTAACTTTTGCATATAGAAAACTACTAGCTGGACAAAATAGAAAATTTTTCTCTGACTTTGTAAGCCTGTCACTTGCAAAAAAAATCTGCAAAAATTTTCAACTTTTTAATGTGAAAGCTTGAAGTTTTCCTTCCAAAATCTTTTTTTTTTTAATGTTTCTACGTGTCTGCGTTGTTTTTCTGTATAATTGTTTTCTGGGTCAGAATGAAAAAGATAAAAATCTCTAATTTTTACATTATTTTCATCAATTTATATCATATCTATGTTATTTAAAAAAATTTGGCAATTATACCGTTTAATAGAGCAAAGTTTCAGCTTTAAGAATCTGTTTTTTGAATTGCAATACGATGATTTCTAATCATAAATTTCTTACGACACAGAGTCGAAGAAAGTAAAAGAATTCACTCCATATGAATGAAAAGTCATTCCAACTTGAGTGATTCGGTGAATTACTTATTTTTTCGAGTGGAATTTTACAATGCCTCCGTTTCGATTTCTACTTCGGATGAGTAAATCGCGCGGGAAAAGGCACTTCAATGAATAGCTTGAACCTCTCGTTAAACGCTGGAATTAATAATCAATTGAGTGATTGAAGAAAACGATCGCGCGTTTGGCGTTCTCACTTTGCTTGTCGCGATCGTGAACGATCGTGAACGAGGGAGAGAGCTTGTTTCGTATTTAAATACGTGTTCAATAATCGAACGTCGAGAGTGCGAACAAGCTCAAATATGTGTCCACAAATACAATTCCGTTTTTCGAGAACAGACATGTATGTACCTATACGTAATTCACTCGTTCACATAATTCATCGTAAATGTTTCAAATTTATTTGCACGTGTGAAAAAATATATACATTTGTATAATATTAATTATTTAAAATCATGCTAGGTTGCAATCATGTCTTGTGTCACAAAAAATATACAGGGTATCCCTGAACGTTTCAGCCAGACTGTGAGATTTTATAAGAAATTTAATTTGGAACAAAAAGTTTCCTATAAACATGGGTCGAAAAATGCTTCCGTATAAGAAGATAACGCTCAAAGACCTCTAAAATCATGTTTTTGAATATACCGGGTGTCTGAGCCCACCCCTTTTTTTAAAAAACTAAGCATTTTAGAGAAAAACGTTCCAGACAAAAATTGTATGATTTTGAAAGGAACATAAGATGGTGTCATTGATTTGACCTTGGGTGGCATCGTTAAGAACTGGTCAAGGACACCTTCAATTTCTTAAATAAAACTCCTTATTTTTTATTGCATATTCTTATAGCTTATGTCGAGAGCTTTCCAAAACACTATAATTAAGTATTTTTTCATTAAGTACTTTTCGAGTTATAAGGCTTGAAAGTTACAGTATTGTGACATAATATTTTGTTAAGTATTTATAATTCAAATTTCTTACTTTTTATTTTTGCAAACAATATGAATCAATTAATGTAAAAAAACAAAAATATACAATTAACTGTATACAATTAACAAAAAAATAAAAAAAAGTAACCGAATACGCTTGAAAATTTTTACTAGAGGGTTTTTTGGGTCGTTAAATACAAATTTGACATCAAATTTTTAAAATTCAAAATGGCGGACCCCAAATAGCGGACATATACAAAATTTTTCAAACGGGCGGATTTGATTGAAACTTGTTATTTGGGGGTTTTTGGAGTCACTGATTATGAATCCGAAATCTGATTTTCAAAATTCAAAATGGCGGATTTAATATGGCGGACCGAATTCGTAAAAAGTTTTTTGCTCAAGCTGAAATTTGTCACTCGGGGGTATTCGGGGTCGCTGATCACGAATAAGACTTCAGATTTTCAAAATTCAAAATGGCGGATTTAATATAGCCGACCGAATTTGAATACGTGCAAAACAGAGTCCCGACCAGTGATGGAAGGGACGCTTTTATTAGATCAAAACCAATCGGTGGCGCGCGGTTTCCGTGCGTCCACCGTTTCATTTGGTGACTCTGAATAACTTTGTGCTGATCGCACGGTCTTAGCACCGGCGACGCATCTTTCAAATGTCTGCCTTATCAACTGTCGATGGTAGGTTCTGCACCTACCATGGTTGTAACGAGTAACGGGGAATCAGAGTTCGATTCCGGAGAGGGAGCCTGAGAAACGGCTACCACATCCAAGGAAGGCAGCAGGCGCGCAAATTACCCACTCCCGGCACGGGGAGGTAGTAAAAAAAAATAACGATATATATATAAGTTTTTATATGAAAAATTTTTTACCGGGCGCCCAACACTGGGGCAACTAATTTTCACAGTACATTTCTGAGGACGATGCATCACTGCTTTTAACGCGATGCGGACATTTCGGACCACACGCCGCACATGTTGATACAGCAGGCGCATGCGTCTCTCATAAGGGCCCCCGCACAATGAAAAATATAAGGAACAAATATTAGCGACTAGGACTAATTAAAAAATCACAGGAATGAAGGTTGTAACATTAATTGATACACGGCTTCCGATAGGTTAAAAATCTATTTCCCGTGTTATTTCCTGTTTCTGTTGCCTGTTTTTTATTGTGCATCCAGTTTTATTTCTGATTCTTTAGTCTTAATCGCTAATATCTGTTTCCTGTTCCTTATAGTTTTTATTGTGCGGGGGCTTTAAGGTCACAAGGAGATTATCGCTTCTGGTTGCTTCTTCACCGTTGTACAGGGTACAGTACGGCTGAGTACGGTCCTTTGACGAATTCGAGCACACTGCTAATTGATTGCTTCGTGAATCATCCGTTCGGAGTAAGCAAATTGGAGGTAACACGGGCCGCGCCGCGGTGCGAAGTTCGCAGAGGAGACCTTTACGAAACATTGTGCAATTGGTTGGAATTTGACAAGACTCAACTTAAATCTCGCCGATTGGAACATATAGAGGTAACGAACGATAATCAGTCAAGTGCGTGCGGGTGACGTTTGCGATTAGTTACGTGCAGACAGTATCGAAATGCGCACCGTATTTTTCGGCTGACGGCAAAACTGCCTTCGTGAAGCTGGCGAAAAGCGGCCTTCCGTTTTCTGTTCCGTTCACGCACTTCGCCTTGTTCCTGTTTCGCGCATCGTGTATTTGGGAACGGCGAATATTTCGAGTCATTCCCACTAACTGTGTTGCGTTCTCCACAGAAAAATTCTTCAAGGAGTTCGACTGAACATTGATCTCACATCACTTTCGACTTTCGGATGATTGAACGAGATAAACAAGATCGTTGCTTGAATTCGCTCAAGACGGTATACGGTGACAATTTCACCGGATAACGCATGAGGAAAAAAATGAAGATTTTCGTTTCGTTCGTCCGTTTATCTTAAACGTCACGATGGACTACGAGATACCTCGCGACTTACAGATGCCTTATCTACAGGCGATCCAAAAGATACCGGGTGATACCGCTGGTGAGAAATGGAGTTGGATCGGAAGATTGACTTTACACCAGACCAGCGAAGATCTTGAGCAACTTCAACCGGAATTGCTACCTATACTGCGTGTGGAAACTGCTGTCAGAAAGAAGAGGCACGAGGATATAACGTTGGCGCTCAAATGTGAAGATTGGACAATAATAAATCGGGCTTTCAAGGCCTCCTGGTTCTTCGACAGCAGCTACAAGAAGATCGTCGATGTCTCGTATTTCTGCGAACGTCTGTTCCCTTACGTTTCCGTGAACACAAGAACGCGTATTGTGCTTACGCTTGCGCGTCGATTAACCGGTAAGAATCCAATTTTCGCGCAACAAATGTTTACAGCAGTATCATCTATTTACGGTATTCAAACCGCTTGCCCGTTGATCGTGGCTTGCGACGAGGCTTTCGTTTATAAAACGATCGTAGAAAAGGAACTCGTGCTGCCCGTAGACATTGTTAAAAAGATATTCCGCAATAATCCGGATTTGATAGTGGGTTTTCTCAAATTATTAAAACCCCGTGAATTAAACGCGACTAAGCGCACTCCTTTCGCGATCGGCATCGATAGATACAAGTCTTTCCTACCTAAATTAATAAAGAAGCGACTCGACGCTTTCGTGGAACTGTGCGAGATACACGAAACCGATCTGCCGAATATTGTTTTGAGTAAGACGTGTGCCGAGATATTTCTAAAAAAAGCTCAGCAACATCTGATAAAGAAACCGCTTTTGTACATCCGAATCTTACCACCTAAGAAGATCAAGGAGGATTTAATGGAAAATATATTTCCAGGTTTGTTGCCCGCAGAAATTTTTTCCTTTGATACGGATAGCGTTCTTGATTACTTGAAGCATTACCCACGTGATAAAAAATACGATTTACTCAGTAAATCCTATAAAAGTAAATATCACGCTGATCTTCTCGACGAGAGGAAAAACGTGACGCCCGACTTATTACAATTATTACCTGCAGAGGAACGGATCAAACAGGCTAGGATCAACATCGAGAAACAGAAGTTATTATTAGAGGAGAATGATGAAGATATTGAAGATACGATGGATTACAAAAAAGCTTGGATTTGTTATTTATCTGTTAACGAAGCTATACCGGTTCTTAAGGAGAGAATAAATAAAACTCCAAATGAATCACACAGACTACATGGTTTGATTTTACAAATGATTTACGTTTGTAAGATTAACGAGGATGACGATGCGTTGTGCAATACCTTGACGTATTTCTTGAATAGACATAAAAACGAAAACTCTTGGCCCTCTTGGCTATTCAAACGAGTGTTTGATGAGCTCTTGCAAATATACGATGTACCTTATTTAAGCGAGAAGCAGATCTCTCTTGTACTTGACATTGTCCGATTGTTTTATATAAAAAATAAATTTGGACCGGACGATTTACTCGCAGCTATAATACATTTCAAACTTATACACAACATGCCAATTGAGGAGTCGATTAACATGCTTGTAGAAGAAAACCAATGGGACGTAAACTTCAACATATTAAAAGAATATCCACAATATGAGAGACAATGCCTCGTAACTTTTGCAAATGTCCTTCAAAAAAAATCTATCAAAGATCTTGATGTAAAAAGATACAACTTTTGCAGCTACGTTGCATCAATATATGATTTCAACGATAGATGTAAAAAATCGTGCATCAATATAGAAGAAATGACAATTAGAGATTATTCTTGGCTTATGGATGCTATTCTCGAAGCGATACGTTCCGATAAAGATACGCGAGATGTAGAAGACACATTGCAGAAAAAAGAACCGGAACTGTACCGTAGTTGGTTTCCTGAAGATATCGTGAATGTAACGTCAGGCGCAGCGCTCGCTTTATTGAATCGAGATTTACAAAATATACTGGACAATTGGGAAAAATACTTAGCCGAATGCATGAAGAACTGCCATATCAAAAGTGTACAACACGTCAAGGCCACGCGTTGGTACAAAGACTTACCTACTAAATTTGTTGATCAGTGCATGAATTATATCTATGATAAAAATGCAGATGAAATATCATCCAGCGTAGTTATTCTGGCCATTCTACTTCACGGTGATGTGGTGACAAAAATAATCGATTCTTTTATACCTACGGAAACAACGGTGGATACTAGTAATTACAAGATCGTGCAAAATTTACCATTGAGCGTGAGACTTTCTAATACGCCAGTACCTCTCAATCTTGTAGTTAGATTGTGTGAAGGGGATTACTTATCAACAGCTCTGATGACACTAACGAACGTATGTAAACGGACTGCTTTGCCAAAAGTGATGTCAATCGTGCAAAAGTTAATGAGTATGCGCGTGAGCACGCGAAAACATGGGGTCAGGCTGATGTGCTTAGTAGCTTCCGTGAGTGAACTCTCAGATTTTCTCCAGAAAACATGGGCGATTGAGAACCATCATTCAGTACGACAAGTTCTGTTCAAAGCGCTCCAGAATTTCTTCCTTACGAAGCCAAGTCCCGAAACTGGGTCCCTATATTGTCAAGCTATGTCGACGTTAAGTCTCCAGGACGAACTTTTGCTTTCGGAAATAAAGTTATTTCCTGAGATTCCCAATGAATACATCTTGAAATACCTCGAGCTGTGGCTCAAAACGATAGGTGATCTTCAAGAACTGGGACTGGATGACCAAAAGACAAACAAATACATCGCCAATTGCTTGGCGACGCTCACTGCATCCGTTTTCAACCTGCTACCCGAAGAATTTACCGAGAATATACTTCGAAGATTTTTATTCCACATCAATACTAATGTATCCGAGGCAGCGAGACGCTTCACAATATCGTACATTTTACCAGACAATGGGGATAAAAATACCGCACGTATCAAAGTATTTGCCGATGTCTTCAACAAAGCAGTGACAACTTATTGGGACGTGCCGCATCCTAATAAATTACGCTTCTATCCGATCAACAGTGCTGTGCGTTTATTTATAGACGATTTTATTGTCAGCTATGTTGATAAGTCTTGTTTCAATAAGCCTGTTAACTCAGAGATCATCGATAATATGCAAACGATATTTTTATCTGTCTTATCACCTAGACAGGACGCGAGGTCTTATTTGCTGTTGGTGTACGCGAAGAAGTTGCAAGAATGCACATTAACCAAGACTTCCCTTGGCCTGAGACTCGGTCAACAGTTGCACGAATTAAGTGATGTCTTTTCGTCACTATTAGTTCCGTTTATGGCCAAGGTTCTCGAAGACTTCCTAAGATGCGTATATAAACATACCGACTTGGAAGAAGTCAAGTTTAGTGTCATAGAAGACCTCATTGAAGCTGGTAATACGGATTCCTGTTTTATGGCTGTGACAATGTTACCGTCGACAATCCAGACGAAACACCTGGCAAGATATGATCGACTCGTTGAAAAATTCCGAGAAATGGAGGAGCCTACTGTTACCATTTTATACGATCATTTAAACGAAACGGACTTAAAAACTGTTGATGATTAAATGAAGTGAAGAAACGAACAAATAATTTTATTGTTTTTATGTACGTATTTTTCGTGATAATATTTTACTATGATGATATTAACGCTTTATCATATAATTGATGATTGAATTATAAATGTACCTTTATATGTTAAAGTGAAATTATTAGTACTTGTTTTTTTTTAATAGAATAATGTTTGAATTTTTATTGAATTCTCATTGAAATATTATTTTCTATTATTTTCGTGAGATATACGCCTAAAGTTTTTTGTTTCTCTTGGCATACTATAATTTAGAATGTTTGTTGAGGTTATAGTGATTGTATGTGACTAAAAGCAATGCGAGTTATATATTAAATATCTTTTTAAACAGTACAAATAAATATCGTGTTGCTCAGCGTGTATCCACATTTGCCTTAATTATATATATATATTATATT